AGGTTGTTTAATTTCGCGTGCCCGCGGTGCTTTCTCGGCCGCCCCCTTTGTTTCGAACGGTTCAATTTAAATCGGACCGCTCTCGGTCGATCGGCTCTGACCGGGTTAGAGGAGGGTTGAGGCGCCGATCTGTTATTAATTAGAGCGGCGTCGAGCGGAAAAGAGCCGGCTCCCAGAAAAGAGCCCGAGCTATCGGTTCTCGGTTTCGGGAATCTCCCTCCCGGACACGATCCCGCAAAACTCGTTCGCCGAATTCGCGCGAAATTAATTGCCGACCCAGCTTGGGATCCCGTTTGACTGCCAAAGCGTTCGATACATTTCTCGGGGAAAAGAGAGAGAAAAGAGGAGATTTCGTCCTTGCGTCGCGATCCTTTGTTGCGCGATTCTCCGATCGAAACAATTTATCTACTATTCACGACGTTTAACCCAGAATAGTTACTGGAAGACCGTATTAGGATTATATTGCTACTACAGACATTTGTAATCATTGTTTAGCTATCCTTCCCCATTTTATAAATATAATTTAAGAAAGAAATAACACACGTAAAAATAATAAATAGAGAATATGATTATTGTAAATATAACACCTCTTTTATATCTTTTAAGATTAATACAAATATGTGTATAATTATGAATTAATCTTAAAAGATATAAAATGATTATAAGTACACTTGTGTATGTTTATAAAATCATATATTCAAACTTGGAATACACATATTAAAATAACTTTATAGTGATGTGTGCATGATAAAGCTTCGCATTCTTTACTATATCATTCTATTGTATAATTATAGAATATCTGAAATTTTACATAAAGAAAATGTGATTTATCTGTTAAAAAATAGAATCAAATATTTAACGATGGTAAAAATAGAACTGTTAAGATGTCGAGATTGTAATTAATTAAGTCAGCGGCGAGTACTAAGGGTACACTGTAGGAAAAGGATCTAATCTGATGTCATAAGGTTTCTCCAGAATAGCGTCCTTCCGCGAAACTTTGCGTAATTAATTCGAGGACAACAAACTTTCTCGGTTGCGAGATCTCTCGGTATGTTGGTCGGCGCTTCCTTTAGCTGCTTTGAATAAACGAGACGAGAAAGGCAAATTTTTATAAATGCGAAAAAAAAATAGATATCGTTATTAAAACAAAAGAACAGAATCAATTGATCCATAATTAGAAGTAATAAGTATTGGCACTAATCTTTTGTGCCATATATATTGCATACTAACTATTTTTCATAGTTGCCACTAATTTTATATTCACCAATGTATACTTGTTATTGAATGGGCCTGTAAAATGCATGTTAACTTACAGCAATTTCGAGTTAACTTCAAAAAGTATACTTCACTCTCCTCTTGGCATATAATTTGAAAATAAAAAAAAAAAAAAACATTTAATTTCTTGGCGAATTGAGTTGTACGATTTAATACAACACAGCGAAAATATACTCTGACTCCCAATAAGTTAACTTTATCGCATACATTGAGCATGTACAAGGTTGCGTCTGCAGGAGTGATTTATCCTTAATGATAATACCGCACCTGGTTTCGAGCGATCAACGAGGAATGCGCATATAAGCCCATAAAGTCATGAAGCGGGCGAGTTAAAAACGCGCGGCGCAGAAAAACCCGTCGGAACGGCGATGAAGAGGAAAAAGGGCTTATCGCTAATGAAGCGAAACGCCTTCTTCGCCATCGAGCACGGCCACTGTCTTGTAAGAAGTCTCGGTACAGCGGCCGTCATGTAACGAGTTTTGTAACGGCGAATCGAATCGAACCTGCTCGCATCAAAGGGCACCGTAAAAATCGAAGACCTTCGTATTGACGGTAGCACGGTGCCCCCGCTGGTCGCGTTAATTGAACACATTTACGGCGAAATTGCGAGATTGATTTCGTTGCACCTTCCCCCTCCCCCCGCCGCGCACCGCGCTTCAGATCTTGAATTATTATAACTGTACGCGATGGCTCGAAAAAAACATGCACGAAGTTGGTACTTGACAAAAATTCAAGTCTTTCCGATCCGAGTATTTTTATCAATATTATTCGCAGTTAATACAAATCGATTAAATTTTTCATGATACGCAAAGATATATACGCTCTCTATTAAAACAATTGACTTAAGATGCAAACATGATATCAAAATCTAAAAAATATTCATGTAATTTACCCTTTAAATTTTACGATAGATATCAGAGTCACTCACAGAAATGCAAAGAATAATATGTGTAAGTTTAAGAGAGGCGCGTCTTTTGTCCATGGAACGAGACGTCTCGACTTGCACCGATGCCATTAAGGTGGATTAAGGCCAGCGTGGCTAATAAATAAAATATAATAAGAATAATAGTGGCAATTTCGCCGGCGGCCACCGGAGGAAGTCAGGTATTATAGTGCAGCGTAATGCAATCCGAGTATTTGAATACCTAATAGTTTTCAATGCATACATTAAGCCTTAAATGCCTATTACCCTGACGGCGTTGTCCTATAGCGTCCCAGGATGCTAATTTTAGCCGGGCCGAATTCGAGCCCATGTACAATACAATACACACAATACGTCTGTATATCCTCGTATGCGTTTCTTATGTGTATGCGACATCAACGCGTGTCTTGGCAAATGAGAAAAGGCTCGTATATAATCGTGACGACGAAAGTTTTTAATACGCTGCTTCTTCTATACACCTTGCAGGGCTCAGCTCTTCGGAATTTCTTCGCGTTTTACGATATTAATGCAATCTCATTACCCGAAGAAAGTCACCGATTCCTGGCAAAGAAACGTGTATCTTTTGTCATTTCTCTCTCTCTCTCTCTCTCTCTTTCTCTCTAAATAACAATGCTGACTATTTATTTTTCCGCTATTTACTCGAGAAAACTCGGTTCACTATTCACGTTCCTTTTACTTACCGACCGTTACCTTTTTTTTTCTTATTAGCATGCGATCATTTATTCCGGCGTAATACCCGCGTCATTTACGATAAAACTTCTGAGTATTCGGCTTAAACGCAAGGAACTTTAAATGATCGCGGAGAGAACCGGAAATTAAATCGGAAGACGGAGGAAGGCCGCGATTATATGAGAAAGAGAGAGAGGGGCGAAAGGACGAACGTACTAATTTGCCGCGTTTGAATCAGTCTGCAAAGACTGTGATCGCGTCTTCTGGCGCGAAAGGAGAATTTCTAAGTCCTCGATATGAGTCGTGTAATCCTTCGTAATGAACCTCTCAAGATCGTCAGGAAACGTTTCAAATATTTATCCAGACGAAACGTCGTTCGCGCCCTACCTCTTAATGGCAACTTGCCATTCCTAGTAGTTTCAAGACATTATTCGAGAAACGTTAAGCCGTCGCAGCTGCATCCGGGAACTTCATGAAGCGAAATTTGCTACTGTCCAAGGAAACTCTCGACTTTCCTTTGCATTTCGCGTATTACGTATACAGTAATAATCCCTAGAATTTAGATGCAGTTATACACACATACACTGATGTTTCGTTGCAATTACGAGTATTTTATACATGTTATATCGAATCAAACGTAACTAATGAAATTTGTGCCGCATAGTTGTATATAATATAGCATATGATAACTATATAATATAAATATGATAGCGTTTCGATATAGCTTTAATGATGTAAATGATAACATATATGTAATATTTTAAGAATTCAAATATATAATACTGTATATCTCCGTCACAAAATACTATAGGAAACTACGATATGACCGTTTTATAACAAAATACGTAATAATTTACGCAATGTTTTATGCTTTAAACTAGTATTTCTGATCTTATATGTTTAATAATATAATTGAAATTTATATACAATACATCTGCGATAATATGTATATCAAAATGTGATCTTTATGCAACAGACAAATAAAGCTCAAAATTGAAACATTATTGTTAGTGTGATAATTTGCGTTAAATACTATATGAATCAGTATCGACAAAATTCGATAAAAAGATATGACTCACCATGTCTGCAATTGATCAATTTGATAAAATCAATTATAAGTATGTAATCAGCAGCTTTTCTGAATCTATAAATTAAGAAATTAATAAGGCTTTCAATTAAAATCACAACTTAAAAATTCCCAGGCGAATAAGAGCCGCGGATGGTAGTGCGCCAGATTCATAAAAAATAATTTTTTCCATGAAGCTTACTATAAATCTCGAATTGAGATTTATTGGTATTCTTGATATAAAACCAAGAAAATTTCGTGCCTTGTGCACAATATAATCAGCTTTTCAAGAAAAAATTATTTTCTCTGAATCTAACACACTACCATCTGCGTCCGGCTCTTATTCGCCTGCAAATTTTTATGTTGTGATTTTCTGAATCTTTTTGCGGTCGCTGGTTAGGAATTATTAGTATATAGGTATTATATACTAATAATTATTTAGTATTATATTAATATTAGTATTATATACTAATAATTATAGTATTATAAGCATCGAAATTATTTTCAAAATCGCGAAATGTATATGGTAAACACTGCATTCCTTCAGCATTGCATTCACAGAGAATTGTAATTAGAAAATCTAATCAAACTTTTTTTTATAACGAGTGCATAATGATTTACACATTTCATACTTTATTTTAAAATCGTTTCTTATAAATCGTTTCATATTCGACACTTTAATTGCGATTTATACGTCTATCTGCGACAAAGTATATTGAAATGTGATTTATGTAACGATAAATAAAGCTCAAAATTGAAACGTTATGTTTAACGCTAAATACGATATTCTTATATACGGACTAAATCAACAATTCTACGTAAAGACCTATATAATGACCACTCACCATATTCGCAATTCATCGAATTGATGGAATGTAGTTTACGCCGTTAACAGCTTTTCCGATTCCTTCTGCGATCGTTATTTTCATCGAAATTATTTTCAAAATCGCGCCTGTGCGTGGTAAATAGGTAAACTAGCGTCGTGCGTTCCGCGAGTGACTTTAGTTCACTGTTCATTGTGACAGATGGCGCGGACTGTATCGCAACTACGTAGTTTATTTCCACTGCCGGCGAGTTCGATTGCGGGAAGTCGCGTTCGTCAGTCAACGACAAAAAGATCAATCGTGTTCTTTTTTTCGCGAGCCGTCCACCAATTTAAACGCGTTTCGGGATTCGCGACTCGCGTATGCGGATTCCGCGTAATTCGATGCTCGCAGGTCAATCGTCGCCTGTGTTCTGTCAATCGAGGAGATATTCGTTCAAAGATATATTACAATACTTACGCGCGAGTTGTATTGCCGATATGTAAACATGTTTATATAGCAAGTACCGTAATACCACGACAATGGCATCGTTGAAAAAAAACTCATAACGCAAATTGTTTTCAGGTACGACCTATCTCGAACTCTTGTATACGCCTGCGTCGAAAGAAAAGAAACACGCCACAATACGTTCTCAATCACGGTAGATTTTATAGTCCATTTGACGAAAGTGAGAAAGACTCATTGTGAGTGTCGTGAATTTAATCGCAGTTCGATGGCGACTTCGCGTTTGATTGTTTCTAATCGGCAGGTATCGTGATTTCGTTCATTTAATCTGATTAATTAATCTTCATCACTGAATATATTTCTTTTTTCATTTAGAATATTTATACTATTGATATAAATACAAATGAAAGAACCGCAATTCATAATAAACGGAACGCTTAGTTAACCACAATTGAGGTTAACTATTCGATTATAGATACTCGCGTATTATTTGCTTATATATTATTGAAAGATATCGTTTTTATCTCCACGAATGAGTATTGTGCGCGTAAAAATCGATGAAGAGTGTAAAAAGGTGCGTGATTCTATCGTAATTGTTGCGCGAAAGTTCAGTGCAAATAACATGTTGATTGTGACAATATACTCAAATTGTATCAATTACCTGCGGAATATTAAGCACGACGATCGTGATTAAATTTGATCGGTGCACGAGTGACGATCGCGCATTTAACCTAATTAACTTCGATATAATCGTACCGACGTGTGAGTAAGTCAAACGAACTTGATGACGGAGGCTGCTTGCGTCGTCGAATCCTGCGAAAAGATTGCTGCCCTTGTTGAAAAATGCGATGGTAAGTACATATTTTTAAGATATTATTATAATTATAACAAAAATAAATGCAGCAGAAAATATGTGATATATCGTTAAAATGATATATTTACAAAATGTACTAGAAACAAATGCTGATTCTCATATTTCTTGAAAAGTTTATATGTATAATTATGATATCATATAGTTTTATATCTACTTAAATCAATTTGTATATATAAATTAATAGGCATACAAGTTGATTGTTAATTAATTTAAAAAAGATTCTCTTAAAGGTTCTCTTGCTTATTTATTAATTATTTCCTTAATTTTCGAGATATGCCCAATCATATCTAGATAATTAGAAAATAAATGTCATAATTATCTTTGATCTTATCAAATTAATCGATGGAATATAAATATACTTATATTTAAAAATATCACAACGATTGAATCTTAAATTAAATACATATTCGCAAAATAAAAATTGATTATTATGAGTAATGATGGATAAAAATACAGATCATTATCTTAATTGGAATTACTTGTGGTAATATTTTGACAAAAATGTATTTTTATATTACAAGATATTGAGATATGATATTACTTCGAAAGTATGACACTTCAAATTTCATGTATAATCGCATCAAAACATTATATAATTATCTCGTCCGTGATTTATAAAATTTAAAAAAATTGAATTACGAGAGATGATGTGTGTGTGTGTGTGTGTGTGTGTGTTATGTTATTAATATATTAATATATTACATCTAACATTGTGTCATCACTGGAAAAGGTTGGTTAATATATATTATCTCGCGTAACGCCTTTCGATATTTTTCCGTGTTTCATTACGCAAGAAAATGTCTCGGCTTTACACGAACTCGCGAATCTTCTCCATGTCGAATCTCCTACATTCGCGAGCGTACCGTATCGCGATAATTAATAATGGCCGGTGAGGCTTTTGTACACAAACGTGTTTCCGAGAGGCCCTCGTGGACGAGCATAATAGCGGAGTGACCGTACGAAAAAATGAGAGCTGAAGATCACCGCCGAGATCTGACCCGAGATAGTGAAGCGGACCTTATACATTCGAGCGTGCCGGAGAGGAGCGCGGATATATCTCTACCTACGTATATATAAAACACGTGCCCAGAAAATATTTAAACCAGTTTCCACTACACTCACCGCGTCTTCTCTCCTTCCTGGGAGGAGATATGAGACAGCGGACCAGTCATTGACAATTCCGCAGAGGAACGTTTAAACGAAAAAAAAGAAAAAAATCACGCGTGTAATTTTTCTTGATTAAATTATAAAACTTTCAAGATTTATTCAATTCTATTTAAGCAATTAAGAGATTAAATGAATAAATATTTAATTATGACACATTAATCAATCGAATATAAAGAAATTTATATTAAAAATATTATGATAGTTGTCTTAAATAATCGCAAAGCTAAAATTATTCGTACACATATTGATGAATAAAAAATATGGATATTTTTACGGATATTACATCGAAATTACTTACCTATTATTATTGATTTAATTATATCATATGATAATTGTTTCAGTCTCATTAATTGGGACGATAATAAATATAAAGATCACAAAAATTTTATTACGTGATTTATTATATTAAAGATGATCGGTAATTTAAGACTCTCTACATTTTTTATTATGCAAAAATTATTTATATTTGCTCCTCGTAAAAAGAGTTTGTAAATTAAAAGCAAAATGTCAAGTTTTCTATTACGAAATGTCATTAATCGCAAAGTACGAGCAATAGAAATAATTAGAATTAATTTAGTCGGGGACGTTAAATCTAGGCAAGTGGGCCCGCCGAACAGGAATAACTCGACCGGCTCTGATTAGTCTTAATGTGTTAATTAGAGAAGATGGTTGTCTGCTTCTCCTCTCGTGCTCTTCTTTCTTCTCCAGAGTGCTCTCCGTGTCGCCAAAGTCTGACGGTACGACGGCGTAGTAGAATCGCGATAGAGAGGGGGACGTTTCAAGAAGCGAAGGGAAAAGGGGATAGAAGAGCAGTTGTGAGTGTAGAAGAGAGAGAGAGAAAGAGAGAGAGCGAGAAAGAGAGAGTTTACCGGGTATCATATTTTACCGGGCATCGGCGTACCGACGCGCACGCACACATTCGTTTTCACGCACACGCGCCCACCGGTCGGATCATTAATCACTATTATCTCGAGGTAATTTTTCTTCGATATAATTTCGTCTGTTTACCCCCGCGCGCGAGTTGGCGCGCGAGCCTGCACACCATGAAGAGCCGGGGCACCGCCGTTTCGCTCAGAGTGGCGCCGGTTCCTCTCTCTCTCTCTCTCTTTCTTTTTTCTCTCTCTTCTATTCTCCTCCCCCAATGCCGTTTTCATTGTCGTCTTCTTATTCTTCTTCTTCTTCTTCTTCGCGGTTCGTGAACTCACGATGTCGACTTTGTGTATACATATGCCTGCAGCTTCGTTAGCCTCTAGCTCGCGTGTCTCCACATCGACGAGTGTCATATTCTTTGAAATTCTTTGTCCTTAACGCGCGGGGATGTCATGATCTCGAGACTCACTCTAGGCTAGCGCAAAATTTGCGCGCACTACCAATCAGCTGTTTCCTTACGTTGGACGTTGGCGTTGTCATCGACGCGACACACTTTATCAAATCGTTTAAACGCGAAGAGACGAATCAAGACTGCTAAAGTGTAAATACGTTTTATGTAAATTTATTATAATTCGAGACACGCAAGTACTGCCAATAATCGATTCACATAATTTCTATCGCATACTACATATATGCGACTTTTTACTGTTTAATTTGATAATTATACATTTTGTAACAAAAGTATTGCATTTTCATAATATGCAGCATATAAAATTTATATAAAGAATAGTTTGCATTTATCCGACGATCTTTTATGATCGTTTCATTTCTCTCTAGTGATCCGTGAAATATATTCCTCCAGACATTAAGTAAATGAGATAGATATTCAAAGTAGCTGATATAATTAACGATCGGATCATCGCGTCTATTAATAAAGCAGATGGAAAAAATTATGCGTATAAGTTGACTATTAGAAATTCACGTTACCTATGGGTAGTTCTATTAATCATTAGATAAATTAGACAGCTACCAAATGTCGATAATCTCGTCTCGAATATTGGATAGATCGCGAGAGCGAAACTAATAATCATTGATACATGCAATCGAATGAGAGATTTTTGCTGCGATGTGACTTGCTTTTGATTTTTTATCGTTGCTTTTATACAAATATCAAATAACTATGCTTTTAAAAATGTTGAGTGGTTTGTTATTATTCCATAAATGTAAATGATTATTTTATTGTACCTGGAATCCTCTTTCGCCAAAGCATCGGTAATTTGTTAGCTTCCACGATTGGTCAGGGAAGCGTGGAACTGGCGTGAAATTGCCGTAGATACAATGCAGAATATTGTGCGTAATAACTTCCGTCGTTTCAAACATTGTTTCGACATTCAATTGTTTCGATTTTTCTCGCTAATTTCTCCAGTTACATCGCGTTTTAACAATGAATCAATCGCATTATATTGAAAATGCATTAAGCGGTCGGGTATTGTTATTAATGTATATATGTAGTTGTTTTTATTAAATCTTGAAATCTCGTTTTGCAGAAGTGTCGGCAGCAATTTTTTGGAACTTTACGAGAAAATAGTGGAAATGGTTAGAGGAAGAAGAGAGCAAAAATCCACTCGAAGATACTTAAGACTCGCGATGCCATTTCCGCTCTTTTCTTTTCGTGTCTCCTCGGCGTTAAAACACTAATTCTTATCCAACCACTTGTAAGACAAATAGCTATTTACACAGTTAATGCGAGTACTTGTTCGCATACTTACCCCGCAGAAAGAAAAGGGGATAACTTAGCGCCATGATCTCGACCTATTGCCGCGTCTCTGTGCTATTTTAACATTGTTTGCCTCGGGAAATATGCACTTAACTTCGCGAGTTGGCTAACCAATCAAAGTTGGCGAGAGCCATTGTGTTAATTCTTTCTCAAAGCACACTCTCTCGTGAACGCTTTTGTTCCTCGCACTTTTGTTCACCCAAAAGGTAATTTTATACCGTACAATCGGTAGTTCCCCACAAACGGATCAGATCTTTATTTTTTCGTTTAATATCAAAAGCACAGGCGCAAATAATTATTATATTGAACAATCTGATATAATTATATAGAACAATCTGATATAATTTGTCTCGTCCATGTATCCTTTTTTAGATCTTCAATCCAGCCTTTCATAACAATACAACGAACGTCGACGATTAAACAAACGATGATTTTGGATGGGAATAATAAAAGTGCAGAGAATTATATGTTTCGAATTACATGAAACTTCCATGGAGTTTTTATATTAAGTTCCTGTCGTACTAGGTACCTCTCCCACCTCCATGCTCGCCTGTGCCCATCGTAGGGACTAACTATCCTTCGTTCAGTGACTAACTAAGCACCTCGAAGATCCTGTAGATCTTTCCATGAGATGATGGTCATTCGACCAGCGGGTATAAATCACCTACGAGAAGTGTCATCCTGGAGTCCCACCCCTTCATTTGAATGCAACTCTCTTTCTCTGTCTCTTTTTGCCCCCATCATGCCCCTCGATCCCTCCGCCGTGACATTATGAAGCATAGACACACGCAGCAGTAAATGAATATTGTATCAGTTGGCTCTGTTGTGTTGTCGGCTCTTTTTTTCCTCTTTCCTCAAGTCATTGTAGCAAAGGTCTACGGAGATGAACTCTTTCGACATGTGGAAATGAACAAAGAGGCCTGTGCGCACGTCGAATGCACACGGATCGATATGTATAATTGAAATCGGTGATAACACTCTGAGAGGAATCGGGTTCTGACCCGACCAGCTTGTCGCAGTGGATTCGGTTTATTGTGATTGAAAGTTAACACACCTGACAGTATTCGTTTGCTGTAAGAATATTTCATTTACGATTGTTTCCCTGTTTTTCACATCCACATCGAAATTTTATAAATAATAAAAATAGTAATGTTTTTTTACAC